CTAGCGACTGAGACCCTAAACTCACCAGGAAACTGTTTACTGAGCTCATAAAGGAAGTCTCAAGTCGATTTTCATTCAAGTGAATGGGATCGCTGTGTTATTGCAGCCAATCGTGCGGCCACCTGCTGGAATTTACATAGAATGCAGGTTTAAGACACTTCAGGGTTGGCTTCACTTTTCAGACCCAGAAGCTCTGTCCATATATAGAGTCAACAGTCTAGTCAAGTGGTCTAGAAACAAGAACCACTCGCAACAGGGGCTGGGGGTACCTTGTGGCCAACCAGCTATGAATTTATTTACTGTTTAGCAAGCTACTATTTACCTTGGTAACAATAGCTAACATTGGAAATGTACAGTGATGTAATGATGTGGCCCGTGGAAAAGCAACCTGGGACTTATAAGGTTGAACCAACTCTGAACCAACACTAGCAGTAGCCCAGAACTAGCACTGAGTTTGTGTTGGTAGAAAGGGATAAAAGAGAACTGGGCATTCCAAATTGTTGCAAAATATCAGCTATTGGCAGCTGGTTTCAAAGTATGTCATGCAAATGGAAAAAACATGCTCAGTGTTGGGTCTCTAGTGTTTCTGAGCTCCCTTTTTTCACCAAATTAGTTTGGATTTTCGAACTACTTCCATTCAAGATTCAGCATGCATTTCTACCAGTTTTGAGCAAAACCAGTATAATCAGATTCATCATCAACAGAGGACTTTGCACAATGCACAACAAACTGTAGAATATGACATGCTCACTTTGGTTCCCAAGAAAAAACCTGCTACTGCACTTTTCAGGTTCTGGACCAATTTATTTTTGGTTGAACTGCTCAAAACAGTTCAAAACCAAGTGCTTGAATGGGAATAGAGCTGGTTCCCTGAAAAGGCCTATTAAGAGAACCACACTCTAGGAGTGAGAGTTTGGTTGTAGTCTCAGGTGTCTGAAAGTGTTGAACCTTTGGTGGATCTTCTCCTCCACAGTCTTGGCACAGAATGCTCGAAGCTCATAGTCCACACCACATGCCTTCCCAGTGTCCTCTGGGCCTGGCTGGAGGGTCACTGAGCAAGGCAGGTTCTGGGGGATCTAACACCCAAACACACAAAGGGACATTTAAATGGCAGCTCTAGTTTAAGTTCTTTATTGCTATACGCATAATTACAGTGAAGCAGTCATTCGCAATGAAATACTTAGATCTCAGGTTCCCTCCATCATTGGTTAAAGATATAATAGCATCAATAACAACTAAATTGTTGTTCTTTTGACTTTTCTCTTTGTCATTTGTGCAAACTCTGACTGTCACATTTACCCCCAAATTCCACCGGGCATGGCAGTCGCCGGAGCTGATTGCGTCCGTTCTAGACAATGCTTGAAATTCCACTAGAAGCACCATGGCCTATACTAGAAACATCCCAGTAGCGTCTTTCCACTCTGCTCTGCGTAAAATATGTGCCCTGTTTTTAACCGAAGCCGTGACCCACCTAAGCAGATCATACTGTCAGGAAGTCAAAAACAGAGACAGCATAGAAAATCCAGTCAACTGTCAAAATAAAAAAACAAGTGCAGATTCTGGATTGAATTTCATGCTAGATAAACACTGCCAGAAGTCAATCAGTCAGAAGCATGTCAGAGAAGATTTAAAGCAGAGAAACGCACCATTCTGTACGATGTTGAGCAGGCAACGTGCTCTGCTTATGAAATGCTCTCGGTGGTTGGCTTGAAGATGCACAGATCACAAAGCCAAATTGAGTCACACGTCACAAAGCCATGCCAGGTGAAATTTTGGGGTATGTCTTCTTAAAGAAGTCTAATTGGCTGTAACATGAGAGCAGGTGATGGTCTTGTGAGATATTCCGGTCTATGGTAAGTCTTACAGTGAAGTTGAAGGGGTAGGCATTCTGACCCAGCTTCTTCAGCAGCCTCTCCTGCAGGCGGCTCAGATGCTTCTTTTCCTCCTGCAGAGGAGGGAACGCCTTGACTGTGCTGACATACAGATCTTTCCGGAAGGAAAGGCCCAGGACGTCCAGGTCCTCCCGACCATAACGAAATGCACAGGTCAGAGTCACAAACACTGAAATGAAGATTTTGAGTAAATGGCTGGTTGATCGGTCGTTTAGTCAGCAAATCAGGCAAATTAACAAACATCGGGTTCCCGGTTAGCTCAGTGGGTAGAGCTGGCAAACCATGTACCAAGGCTAAGTCCTGGCTGCAGCGGCCCAGGGTTCGAGTCCAACTTGCGGCCCTTTGCTGCCTGTCATCCCCTCTCTCTGCCCCCCTTTCCTGTCTGTCCCCAGCTGTCCTATCAAATAAAGGCATAAAAGCCAAAAATAAAAAAAATAAAAATTAACAGGCATCTTTCTACAAGGTTTCTTACCTTTTCGATCTTTCAGATACTGCGGGTCTAGAAGGAGGACTCCGTCTAGAGAACACACAGACAGACACACACATTCATACATTATATGGCGTTTTTTAGTGTGTATATTACTGGTCTCATAAATGTCTCATTTCAGGCTCAAATGCAACCTTCTTTTTCCCAAATTTGGACACAACCTGTGTGTCCATGGCAGATCTCAGCATCCCATAATCCAGTTTCTACCAGTGTGTAACAAAAACATCAATTTTTAACATAAACTCTAAACCATAAGGCTTTAAGTCTTTAAAGGTCATTCATTTTTGTAGTATTTTCAATGATGGCCTTCTGAGCTGCATGTGTGCAACTCACCTACTGGATCTACGTAGTTCAAGTGATCAACAAAGTCTCGCTTCCCTAGATAAACTGTGAGCTGTGGAAAGAAAGAGACAGGCAGATGGGGAAGAATGGAGTGATTAGGATAATCCACAACAGGAGACATTGGAGAGAGATAAGAACCCCTCCTCACACACACATATCCTACCTTGGAGTTGGGGCTGGACTTCTTAAAGACTCTGCAGAAAGAGGGAGAGAGCACGTCTTGTTAACAGAGGGTGTGTACGTGAAACTCAAATTCATTTATTCTTGCTATCATATCAGTAACCTGGGCTGAGCTCTGACATCTGAGTCCTCAAGCTGTTAGATCTGAAATGTGTTTGAGCTACACCAATTAAATGCAGTGTTGTTTGTCCCCCAACATTATTCAAGCAAAGTAAGCAATAAAATTAATGAATTTAAGAAATTAAAGTTAAATTAAATTAAAGTAAAAGATACCAGTAATCCACTGAATCCACTGTGAATGAGCATATTTATCCAGTCTCCTCAATATATTAACTTTAAAAACACACTTAGTGTGACAAGGGGGAGTCCATCCTTCATAGTATATCAAATTTGTTCTAAATAGGTATTTTAAACTATTTCAAACTTTAATCGATATGTCAGTAACAGGGTTGACAAAACACACATGTGCATGTTGAATATCTCCTGATATGTGCATATGCTGAGAGGTGATTATCTACTCCATCTAAAAAGGGGGCTATAAAGTTTAAAAAATAAATCAAACAATGGGAAATGGCACATTTCGTATAATGACTTACCTGCAGTTTAAAATGTACTAAATTTGACTTTTGCTGTTTTGCCCCTTTAAAGACATTAATATCCAAAGACTGCAGTTGATACAAAATGCTGCTGACAGGCTTTGAACTCGTTCTTAGAGGAGTGAAGACAAGACTTCAAAAAAAATTACATTAAACATTTTAAGTAACACAAACTCAATTTTTTTAAGTTAAAAAAACATTCTATTTGCACCGTATATTATTTTGTTTTCACAATACAAATAGAAATTACAAAAAGAAGTCAGTGTCACTTAAAAGTTAGTTTTAGTTTTAATTAAAAATGTCGATGTAATCAGTTCCAACAATTATTTGAAATAAATGAACTTATCTGATTTTACAGTGAAGTAAGTATGTATGATCGTTAAAAATGGTAAAGAAAAAGGAAAAAATTCCCTAAACAGGAAATAATCTGCTCAAAATTCATCCAAATCACCCATTTTACACAAACTTCTTGCAGTTACAGTTTTCACTAATCACTAATTGGGTTCATTGTACAGTTTTGA